ACCAGGTCTATAAATCACCAACAAGTCAACACAAAAGATCTACACAATATCGGTCAGCACAAAGCGTTCAGCACAGAAGGGTCTTGCTCAGATGGTGAAGGTCCAAATGGCGGAAGATGGCAGTGGGCCAGGTATTTGACACCATTTTAACTTCCTCAGCTCAATGCTATCAAACCTTGGGATTTGTGGTTTGGTGAGGCACCAGCCCTTTTTTACAGAGAAGGCTTGTAAAATTAGAATTCCCAAGTTGCCATAAAATTGAGTCATGGTAGTTAAAATGGTGTCAAACTGCATTCCTTCTATACTGTAGATGCACTCAAAGTCTATTCTACAACTTGGGATTTACTCTCGGCAAAATGTATACATGGCATGCATTTTTCACACAAAAAACAGTATTTTCTGCACAGGAAGAAAATGATGTTTCCCTTTTGCCCAGAATAAGTCCCAAACTGTGGTGATTCTTGTCAGATGAGGATTCTTCTCATTAGTATTTTCCAGTATTTGAGAAACATTTTTATTTTATTTTATTACTATTTTCAAATATTGTTTCTATCCCTAATTAAGCTTCACATGAATTCAGTTGTGGTAAACTCTATGACAGTTGTGCCAGTCAAAGTTACTGCATATATGTATGTATACGTATGGAAATTTTATTCAAAAATAAATCCCCACCCCAAAAAATTGGACTAATCCATGGGTCAGAATAAGTACTGTACCTTAAGACTTATAAAAAAGGAACCTTCTCCTTCTAGTAGAGTGATGGAAGGTGATAATTTATTCTGTCCTAGAAAAACTTAAAAGAAGCACAGGCCCATTTACTATCTCTGATGTGGCAGTGCTTTCTTTCTTTTTAAAAATTATTATTATTATTATTATTATTATTATTATTATTATTTGCCATACTTGTACCCTGCCCTTCTCTTATATCCCACTTTATCTCTCCCACAAGAGATTCAAAGCAACTTAACATAAAAACATCAGCATAGAATTAAAATATACAAATATTAAAACAGTGTCATTTAAAACAATTCAGATTAAATCCATAAAAACATATAAAACCACAGCAGCCCCTGACATGATCTGAAACATCTTCATCTTTAAAATCTGTCTGAATAACAAGGTTTTAGCCTGCCACCAGAAGGACAGCAGTGTGGGGCCCAGTCTGGTTTCCCTGAGCAGGGAGTTCCAGAGTTGAGGGGCAGCCACAAAAAAGGAAGGCCCCGTCTCTTGTTCCCACCAACCGAGTTTGAGATAGAGGTGGAACCAAGAGAAGGGCCTCTCCTGAAGATCTTAAGGCCCAGACAGGTTCATACAAGATAGACCCCCTCCAGGTCCTGTCACAACTGCTTTTTTTCAATGTGCCACAGAACTAGAAAGTTACTGGAGACATCATTTTTAAGTATCTTGTTCTGTAATAGCCTAGAAATTCTCCAGTTGTACTGCCTGTCAGAAAAGATGGGGTCTTGGGGACCAGGGCCACAGAACGCCCATGAAATGGGAAAACCATAAATTAAAAAAAAATTAACCTGAAATAAGAACTCTCTCTAGGGTGCTTTCTTAACCCCGTAGCTGACACCCAGACTTCCTTGAAGGGAAGAAAGGAAAGGCTCTCAGGGGAAAGGGGAGCCTCGTAAGTTTCCCACTGCCGCCAATGGACTGAAAAGAACAATTTTTTCGGATGCGGAATGAAAATGCCCATTCGGCAGCATGCCTGTTTTTGGGAAATGCTGGAAAATTGATATAGGGGTTTCTCAGTATCTGGCAAGCAGAAACGGATAGCAGTTCACTTGAAATACACAAGCCTAATATCCAGCTTAACGAAATCCTGACTGTTGGGTAGAAATCCTGATTTAGGATCAAGTCTATAGCAATCTAAATGTGATAAGTTTCTCCAGCATCAATTTTGAAAATCAATTTCAAGGCTAAGCTTGGGAGATGTTTCCCCATTATTGTGACATGAATATAACAATGATATTAAAATTCATTCTTATAATGTTAGAATATAATCATAATAAAGAGGTCACGAGTAAACATCGCAAACTACCAAAACAGTAGAGGACTACTGTGGAATCTTACAAGTATGTGGGTTGGCAGCATATGCTTATGTGTGAAGCTAACATGATGCTGTTCATCTTTAAGGTGTCATAGGGCTGGTTTTGTATGTTTGCTATTATGGACTAACACACAGGCTACACCTCTGGGAAATACAGCAACTTTTTTACGTTGAGTGAAGGAGGTCAGATAGGTCAACTTGGGATATTGGTATAAGAAGAGAAAGATAAGAGTGAGATAAATGAGATTTTTTTTTTGGTATAAACAATTGATATTGGCTCAGCTGCATTTCTCTTCCATTCAGGTGTTTCTTCTTTTAAAAGTGCAATTCTTCTGCTTCCAGAAAAAAAGAAAGAAATCTACCATTTCTGAACACCAAAAAATTTTGCTTTGAGGCAGCACCAGGGGGAGAGGGGGGGGGGGCTAATTACTAGTTACTGACAACAGGCAAAGCATCATTTTTCAAGAGTATGAGCTTTAAACTGATCTATCTGTTGTTTGTTAGATCTGTCAGCCTTTCAGATGTAAGCACACACACCCCTCCTGCAGCTCCTTGTTTTAGACAGGAAAGATAAATTGTTACAGATGTTTTTGAGTAAAGAGGGAGAGGGCTTTACAGGGCTTCCAGGGATGAGAGCACAAATCATGCTGGTAAGCACCCTTCTGCTTTCAGTTTTTATCAGATGAAAGTCACTTTAGGAGGGATTGTGATTTCATGCTTCAGTAAATATGAGCAAACCAGTCTCCTCTAACCACCCCCAGCAAAGTCCACCATTTGATTGGATAATAAGCAGGACAATCCTATACAAGTTTATTCCAAAACTGGTTCAATTGCTTTCAGCGGAGCTTGCCCCCAAGCAAGCTCTGTGGAGCTGTAACCTAAATATTCCAGTTCTCAATCTACGTCTTGTAACTCTCAGCATACTGTCCAGCATTTCACCAATGAAAACCAGGACAGATGTTGTTAAACAATATCATAATGTGATCAGAATAGCAAAAGTTATTGATAAGGAAGAACAAGCTGGAAGAGAGTGCAGCAGTTTGCTTTTGTCTGAGTCTACTGAGAAGGTGAGAATGCGGCCCTTGCTGAATTAATTGAGTACAAATACATGTGTATTTTTTACCCAGTTTTTAGATTTTGAAGTAAGCCAAAGACAAAGGAAATGAAAGGAGGAAAGAAAACCAGCTGAAAAGTAAGATAACAGAGGATTAATTGGGCAATTTCCGTCTGACTGATACAGTTGGAGTGCCTTTGACTAATTATTTGGATGAGACCAAATGTTTTATGAGGGTTACGGTTTTAGTTGTTAGCTTTAGATGTTTTATCCTGTGAAAAATTTATACTATGTGATTATGTCTGTTTGGGTTATTTAAGTCTATTTCTTGGTTTTGTCTGTTATATAAAAGTTTAAAGTTAGGCTGTTCTATACTGTTTGATATGTTTTGTTTTGATGTAATTTGTTTATATGTCCTCTCTTTGAAATTAAATGTTTGCTATATATGTTGGAAACTGCCCCAAGTCCCTTTGGGGAGATGGGGTGGTCTATAAATAAAGTTGTTGTTGTTGTTGTTGTTATGTTAAAACAGAAATTGTGGAGAGCTTTGAAATAACTGAAAACCCTTGTAATCGGCCTTCTAGAGGCAAATATTGTAGTTCCATGTTAAGTGTGAAGTGATGCATGCTGGATCATTAAAAAAAACTAACTTCACATATACATTTTTAGATCTGCTTTGGCGGAAAGGAATCTTGGGGTACAAAAGTAACATTTCCAGAAATGTTGACATGGAAATCTTTAGCAAAATATTAATTGTGCAATGCATATTTCAACCTGCAAAGGGTATATTAGTACACGTTTTAGGTTGAAAGTCACTTTTGTTAGTTTTGGAACATTAAAGAATAATGCACAATATATAAAAAGCATAGTTTATTCCGACAGTAATTGAGATTTAGAGTTACAAGTCCTGAACTAAAATGAATATCTGGCAACCTCTTTGGCAATTTATGAGGAAGAAGGGGTGGGGGACAGAAAAAGAGGGGGAAACTACCAATATTAGCAAAATAAAGACAATTAGTTTATCTCTTCTAGCCCTTCATATTGTCAAGCAAATATAAAGTGCTTATTACCCATAAAATATTGGGAAAAGGGAAAAAACAGGAAATGTAATAATATGATCCTGCATTATGTAAAGGTCTTCCTTTAATATATGTATTATACATATTTTTGAGAGAATAAATATATGAACATCTTCTCTTAAATATTTTATTTATTGTTCTAAAAGAAAAAAACTTCAATACCCTTAATTGGGATAGCAGCCAGCCACCTCCCCCCCCCCCCAACCCCAAATGTAGGCCCTAAAACTTACATAAAGCTGCTGCCATGAACGGAGCCCACTTGTAAGTTCTTCTGGTGCGCCCAAATGGTGCATGAGGAGAAGGAAGGGGGAAGGATTTGGCACATCAGAAGAATTACAAGAGGCTCTGTGCCTGGCAGCAGGTTTAGGTAGGTTTTAGGGCCTACATTTAGGGTGTGGGGGTAGGGGGTAGGTACCCTCTTGTTTTTTCAGGCTCATAGAGCCCAAAAAACCAAGATGGCTGTGTGGATTGGACCTGGGGATCGTGTGATGCAGTCCACGGGCCACACCTGCTAAGACCCGGATCTTACTTAAGATTTAGATTTTACCAAATGTTTAATTAATTCAGAACAAAGCAGGGAAACCCTACTTTCTTTCAAAATAATTCATCTTCACTGGGGGCGTCGTTTGAACACCCCAGTAAAAAGCCAGACATTAAGTCCATAAAGGCACCCTTAGGACATTGTTCGGAGGAAAGCTCCTCAGTATGAAAGATGGAGTGACAGCAACCCCCCCCCCCACACACACACACCTGTGACCGGAGTCAAGCATAGCCTCCAAGATGATGGAAATAAGATGAGACAAATTGCCTTTACCTCTGTTTGTGTTGTCTGTCCTTGTTAGTTATATAATCAGCATTGAATGTTTGCCATATGTGTGTTCTGTAAGCCGCTCTGGATTCCCTTTGGGGTGAGAAGGGTGGGATATAAACACTGCAAATAAATAAATAAATTTGGGTTCAATTGCAGAATTAGGCAAAAGGGAAGCCACCCTCCTCCTAGATCTCCCAGTAGACTTTAATGGTGCCTAGGTGGGACATGGGTGCCCCCGCTTGCTTGGGGCTCTTAAAGGAACCACACCTTGCCTGTTTGGACAGCCTGCCCAGATTTCTTACTTGTTATTACCTTTGTTTATTAGCTTTTTGCTATGAATTCATTGTATCAATCTTTCTTTGTTGCTGTACTTATATCCATATCCATATCCATGGATTCTGCACCCACAGATTCCACTGTCCAAGATTTCATTTTTTAAAAAACAGAAAATCCAAAAAAGTCACACACTCTCACTTTCAGAAGAAGGAGAAGGCAATTCCCCTCTGAAAAAAATCTTGTCGAGAAAACCTCAGGATAGAGTTACTTTAGGATGACAAGACATTGGAAACAACTTGAAGATACACGACAACAAAGTTACACTAAAATGCGGTACATTGGAACTTGACCTTAACTTTCTTCTCAGGACATCTTTATGTAGTTCTGTTACGTTTTCAGAAAGTGTTCTTTGCTTTAATATTGCAGAGGCCCCTTGTGTAGCCTATATGGATATAATATTTCACCGTGGAAAAAAAACCCCAAACAATGCCAGCTTGGGGAACAGTCCTGCCTTGACAGGACTGAGTCATTAACTCAACCAGACTAGCTGGTTTGGAAAGCAGCTTGGCATTCATATAAGCTTCATATAGTAATAGCGTACTGTTTAACATACCAAAAATGAAATAGATCTTTTTAAAAAAGAAAAAGAAAAACTTGCCTTGAGCTGGGTGATCATTAGTCTAAGCCCATTAGTTTTGTGATAAACAAGATCTTAATTAAATATGCTGTTTTAAAGTGGCATAACACACCAGTAAGCCTATCCAGTCAAAAAGAACATGCTGCAGAATCACTGGGGAAATTCTCAGACAGCTATTAGACGCCAACAGTAAGTGGCAGAACATTTCATCAATTTTATTCCAGCACAATATTGAATACATTTAGTAGCAGCCATTCACTGCGTCTAAATTGCTTTCCAGCTACAAGTAGTAAGTAGTACTTAACTATTAAGTACCATGTAATAAAATCATATGCAGTAAAGAAATAACAATATCTTCTGAGTAACTATAGATTAGATTGGGAGAGGCAGTTTCGGTGGTTCTGGCTCTCTAGGATTTGATAGGGCTGCAGTTATACTGAAAATGGATTTTCTTTTAAAGTCCTTTCTCTGCCCATGCGGAAGTTACCAGACTGATGATGATGACATTGACATTTCTTTATATTCTACCATTTTCCCAAGCCTGGGACTCAAGGCAGCTTACAAAAGTACAGCTAAACATTACATTATACATAAGTTTAAGAACGTAAGGTTTTATTCTGTGCTGTGGTTACTAACTTGTAACCTAGAATTACAGATCTGTCACTATTCTGTATTCAATAACACTGTGTAGTTATGATTGTGCCATGAATAGGTTTAAATGTCTGTTTTACTTCTTAATTGTTTTTATGACATTGAATTGTTGCCTATATGTAAAGGCGCCTTGAGTCCCCTTTGAAGTGAGAAGGGTGAGGTACAAATATAGTAAATAAATAATAAATAAATAACTATTCTAAATGTCCACCCACAAATCTACCATATCAACCACCAGCTGCATTTAGTGAAGGAGATCTGTTTGGCTCTCTATTGGGGCACAAATGGAGTGAAATTTCTAGCCCTCTCCCAATAGTAAGCCAGCTGGATGGCCATCTTTCCGGGGTACCTTGGTTGTGCTTTTCTTGCATGGCAGGGGGTTGGACTAGATGGCCCATGTGGTCTCTTCCCACTCTATGATTTTATGATTCTCTAGCTGCTTCTTGATCAGGAACCTCATGATATGGGTGAGCACCAGCATTGCAATTTGCCAGCTTCCATGGCAAATTGGAGTGGCAGCGGGGCAATCCTGGCGCCCTGCCCAGCAGCTGAAGCTTTCCCATCACACGTAGGGAAGCATCATCACTCAGATCAATCCTGTGCAGGCCCCATTGTTCCTAATGGAACACAGGGAGGCTACCGTGTTGAAGACACAACATCCTACTATGCTGCTGCCTCGGTTCACTCATGGAGCCCCACCAGAAGTCAGCTATGTCATTTGATGGGCAGCATGGGGCTTTTTGAGTGAACTGGGGCAGAAGTATCCTAGGATACTTCTTTTTTCACATGTGATGTAGTCGCAAGAGACTTCCATCAGTTGCAGTGACTGATGCCCTGTAAGTAGGGATTGGAAGACTTTCACAATTCCTATGTATCCTGTAAACTAGGGTCTAGATATGAATCATGAACATGAACTAGTAGTTACAAGCATGTAACTCTAGGTTACATATTCATAACACGATTCTATTGGGATTAAAAGCAGGTCAAAGTATGACAACTGAAAGGAAAACAACAAATACTGGGAACACTATTGTAACCCAAACCAGGAGAAAGAAGTATGTTGTAAACTGCCTTGAGTCCACCCAGGGGTGAAAAAGGTGGTATATAAAAAATACAGTAAATAAATAAATAAATATAAATAAAACACACAGTACAGTACATTCTAAAACATCTTTTACTTCAAGCAATCAAACATAAAAAACCTGCTGAAGCGTTAAGAAAGGTGGGTAGCTGTCTAAAATTTCTAGGAAGGGAGTTCTAGACCATGGGAGTAGCTACAGAAAAAATGCAAAATCTTGGTCCATGCTGATATTATATGTAAACTCAGCTAATAAATATGTATTAACCTATTTTTGTCAAAAAAATTGTAAATGGCTTTACTCTGGTTGGCATTAAAAACTGGGTTATTATGCCAAAAGATGCAACACTCAAAATCTAATGATTGTCACACAAAACTTGAGGATAAAACATAGAAACAAATGTGGATGAGTATCTCAGAACAATGATCGTGTGTTTCAAATGCCTTTGAAATGTACACAAAAGATATAAATTATATATATATACACATTTTGCCATGAAAGAATTACCTGATTTTTTTTTAAAAAATCAAGATTTTCCAGGTAGGTACATTGCATAGAGTAATGAGAGTATGACTAAGGAATATGTTCTGTGTGGAACTTGTATATAGAAGTCATCAAATGGTTATATTTTTCATTTTTAAAATCTGCATTCTGCTTATCTGTTCTCCAACAGCCTACTGTACTTTCAAATTAATTACAAATCCACTTTGCAGCCAGTAACCTAGATACACTGTATAGTTAACCTCCTTACAGTTCTTTGAATTATCTTCATTTATTTATTTCTTAGTAAAAAAAATATCTTATTAACCCAAGGCCTAAGCTTTTTCCGATGTCCTTTGTTCATCGATGTGTGAAAAATTATCCTTGCAGTCATTTTCTTTCCCTAACCATAAGAACAAGTAATTCCCTATTTTACACAAAGAGACTTCACTAATACATCTTGAGAGTGAGGGGTTTTGTTTTGTCTGTGCACAATTAAAACATTTCTGAGTCATATATTTTTTAAATCAGATGAAAACAGCTATGTCAATAGCTCTTGCAGCAAAAATAAGATTTTTGTCGCAGTAACAATGACAAGTTTTTATGTGGCTATGTTTTGCTCATTCCTAATAACATCAGGACGTTCTTACATTCTGTTGGGGACTTACATCAATGTAAGAGACCTTGGATGCACAGAAAAGGGAATTCAGCAGTTCTACAATATCCATATTCACCATGGTGCTGCTGTAATGGGACCTGTTGCACATGAATATTTACAGGAGTGACTGATATACCTTGCACCCTGAGCTGTGTTGGTGCCCACTGTGCATCGGGATTCTATAGCAAGTCATCTGACAGGGGTTTGGTGGCGGCGGGGGGGGGGGGTGTCTGCTACTTTCTTATGGATGTGTAAAGTTAGAAACCATTGACCCTGACACAGTGTCTCCGTTCAAAAAATCTGACAAACTACTAAAGGTAAAGGTAAATGTTTTCCCCTGACATTAAATCCAGTCATGTCCAACTCTGGAGGTTGGTGCTCATCTCCATTTCTAACCCAAAGAGCCAATGTTGTACTTAGACACCTCCAAGATCATGTGGCCGGCATGACTGCATGGAGCACCGTTACCTTCCTGCAGAAATGGTACCTATTGATCTACTCACATTTGCATGTTTTTGAACTGCTTGGTTGGCCGAAACTACAATTTTACATGTTTTCGAACTGCTAGGTTGGCAGAAACTACTGCTGGGTCTGCCAAACTACAATTCCTTAATTGTTTAACAGAAATACTGCTTCACAGTGAATGGTGTCTAGCTTTACACATCCATAACTAAGTAGCTTTGAACCATGGCTGTTAAAATAGTGTCACACTGTATTGATTCTACAATGTAGATGCACCACAAGCCCCTCAAAAGGGGAAAGTTCTTTCATTTCATCTTGATCTGGGAATGGGCCCTTTTGCTCAGATTTCAGTCTTAGAGTGCATCTACACTGAGTGCAACCCTTAGTCTCACCTAATTCAAAGTGGCCTGCTACACAGCGTAGATGCTGACCTTGGCCATTGAGCTATATTAAATTAAACATTACCTCTATACTATTTTCATGCTATATCCTCAAAGTACTTTATAAATATTCATCCCAGCTATTACTAATAAATGTATAAATAAACTAATCAAATGATATGGGCCTGCTTGGAGCTTTCAGTGCATCCCAGCCAAATCTGATAAAGAATTAATGGTATACAAATACCACTGGAAAGATTAAAGTTTTAGCTGAAGAAGCAATTCCAGTATGACTGGATTGGAAGATGCACACTCTTGCCTTCAGAATTTAAGATGGCAAAATACAACATTGCTGATGATGGTAGCTGACAATGGCAAAAGCAGCATTTGGGGAAAGAGGTTCCCCAAGGTCACACCAGGAGACAATGGACTATTTTCAGCAGGTAGCCCTTTTGGGATTTAGCCTTCTCATATTGGTGTGACATTTTGATGTCTGA